GGTGCCTGGCTCTCCTCCTCTTAAAAGGATACCTGTCATTAGATTGAAGGTCCACCATAGTGCAGAGTGACCTCGACTTGACAGTGGCAAAGACCCTACTTCCAAATAGAATTACATTCTGAGCTTCTGTGTGAACATACTGTTCAGTGTATGCCCCTTGCCACATGAAGGGGCTCTCCAGTCAATGAGGGAATGTCTCCAACCAGCTGCCAGTGAGAACCGGAGGCCTGCCAACAGCCGTGTGAGCTTAGGAAGGACACTTCCCCAGGTGAGCCTTGAGATGATTGTAGTCTCTGAGAGACCCTGTACCAGAGGCACCCAGCTAAGCTGTGCTAAAATTCCTGACCCATAGGCGAAAACTGAGAATAAGGAATGTCCCAAAGTAGTGAGTCTGAGACATGGACACCACCATATTATAGGCAGCTAAGTTAGATAGAAATAAATACAGAGTCAGAGAGGGACTGAACGCTCAAGGAAATCAGCAGAGAAAGACATCAGAATTGTGGCTGGTGGGGCTGGGGATTTAGTTCAGCGGCAAAAAGCGCCTGCCTGGCAAGCGCAAGGTCGTGAGTTCAGTTCCTGGTATCGGAGAAAAACCAAAAAAAAAAAAAAAAGAATTGTGGCTGGTGGTAAATCTGAAGACCAGGCCTCAAGATAAAAATGCAATGGCCAAGCCTCTGTGGCTCTCCGAGGGATAAGCAGTAACTTGGGGTTATACTGTAGTTAGCACCAGACGGGCATCACCTGGGTGGGTGACCAGAGCACCTGGACCCATTCCTTCCCGAAAATGCCTTTGTTCTTCCCATATACCCTTGCTATGTGACCTGTTTTCCTATTGGATCAATATTAGCTAAGTGGCTGTACTTATAATCCTGTAGGTTCATTACAGTTTCACTCATGTTGTATCCCTATTGTGATTTTGCTATATAAACTACCCCTGACAAAAGGCCTTCATGCCAGCTCACTTGGGACCCCACTTGTCTCTCAGGAGCTCTCTCTCAATAAACCTTTCCCACCCCTAACCTGGTCATTTGGAATTCATTCTTCTACTTCAAGGGACATAACTCAGCACATCTGACATCTAGTAGGCTGGGAGTTATATTTCTTCTAAATCAGCCAGAGGACAGAGGCAAATAAAGTAGACCTTCAGTTTGTTAGTTGTTAAAAGGAAAGGGTTTACCAAGGAGGAAAAACAAAAATAACCCCCCTGGCTTTACTCTTAGTTGACTTTAAAAATCACTAATTCTGGGCAATACATTACACAGCTGGGCAATACATTACTGGCTTCCCATTAACTTTGCAGTAAAACCACACCTCTCATGTATGGGTCATGACAGTTACCTAAGTTACTTTCCCAAAACTTGAAGGCGCGTGGCTTGTTGGAGTTGGTATGCATTTCTTCTCCCCATTCTGTGCTTTCTCAGCAGCTCAGGCACTGGAAGACCTGCAGCTCTAGCATTAGGGCAGGATGTTTATTCCAGATGATGGTACCAACTGGAAGAGTAACTCAGCCATTCCTGAGCGAAGCTGACCCATTAGCTCACTAAGCACGTGGCCAAGATGTTTCCACATAAGACATCTTTTGAAACTGCGCCCATGACCAGAAAGTTACCAGAGCAGCCCACCCCAATAAATCAGTAAGCAAGCCCCTTTGTAGAACAAGAAACCTGATGACTTCTTTTATTAAGCACTTGCTCCCTTTGGCTAGCAGAATGGAAACCCTGTAAAGAAGCTTTGCAGATTTTGTTCATAGCATGGTTTGGTCCCCACCCCAATCCGGGTCCTGGGGATTGAACCCATGACCATTTTTCATTTTGGACAGGGTCCTGCCAAGTGGCCCAGGCTGGGCTCACACCTGAAATCCTCCCGCCTTAGCCTCCCGGAGTGCTAGGGTTACAGGCGTGCACCACCACACTTGCCTTTGGTCTCATCTAGGTCCATTGCCGTAAGATCCCACCATCCGGTAAAGAGATTTGGAGTGATTTGTCATGCAGCATAGATGAGTGATTTTGATAACTGGAAATGAAGCGCTATGACAGTAACGACCTGAGATCTAGAAGTCATTTTGGAACCAGGAGGTAGATGAAAACTGAAAAGATTGTTAAGTGTGTGTTAAAGAAAGCCTGAATCGTCTTAGGCAAACATGGTAGAAATCTAGACTTTGAAGATACTGTTACTGAGGGCACGAAATGGAGAGAGGAGCATTTGTCACTGAGTGGAGGAAAGAGGTTCCTTGTTAGGACAGGGAAGAAAGTGTAGCAACACTCTCATCTGCAGTTATGTGAAGTTAGAAAGTACTCCGATGAACTGGGTGACCTGGCTCAGGAAATTCTAAATAGACAGGCTGACTGGTTTCTTCTTGCTACTTATAGGGAAGAAAGAGATAAATTGCGAGAACTGCTAAACAAGGAGGCAGGACTTGATGGTTTTGAAGCCGCACAGTCTCTTGAGCAAAGATCAAAATCAGAACTGCAACACATGGGAGGACTGCGAGTTCAAAGTTAGTCTAGACTGCACAGTGAGTTCAAAGCTACCCTAGACTGTATAATAAGACCCCGTGCCCAAAAAACAAGCAAAAAAAACACCAAAAGTACAATAGAGCCTGTCTTAGCTCAAGCTGCTTTGAGAAAATAACACCAACTGGGTAGATTACACAATACATTTATTTCTTTTGCTTCTGAAGACAGAGAAGTCAAAGATGAGGATCCCAGCAGGTTTGGTTCCTGGTGAGGACTTGCTGCCTGACCTGAGGTGCCGTCTCAGTGCGTCTTCACACAGAAAAGTGAGCTCTACTATCTTTTCCCCTTCCTATAAAGGCACTAATCCCACCATGGGGGACCCACCCTTATGATTTCACAGAAACCTAACTACCTCTCAGAGGTCCTCTTTCTAAATACTATCCTATTAGGGGTAAAGCTTCAACGTGAATGTAAAGGGTGAAGGGGACACATCCATTCATAACAGTCTAAAGTTGCCGGCGTGGTGGCGCATGCCTGTAATCCCAGCACTCAGGAGGCTGAGGCGGGAGGATCATTGCGAGTTCGAGCCCAGCCTGGGCTACAAAGTGAGCTCAAGGCCAGCCTGAACTGTATAGCGAGACCCTGTCTCAAAAAAACAAAACAGAAAAGATCATACCTCATAATAGTCTAAAGCTAAAGTAAAAGATGGTACTGTGTAATATTTTGTGAAGCCATTAGAAAGATCCAAAATGATGCCTCAGGAAACGAAAGATATTTATAGATCTCAATGAGGTCTCTTCGGCCTTTAAAGTCATTGCTCCTCAAATCTCAGCAGGACTCCAAGGTAGAGAAGAATGTATTTCAAACATTTGCTCCTGTGGCTTTCATTTAATGGAGTAAGCCCCAAGAAGATTCCCAGGAAATCACAAAATTCTGGAGAGAGTTATATTTGGATTCTTGGACTGAGGGAGAAAGAGCTACTACAGACTGAATAGAGAGTATAATTTCTGGGCAGGAACAAAGTAAACTGCTTGACTACAGCTGTGCTATTTTTTATGGAAAGGTATGACTCAGAAAATGGAACCAAGAGCTATTCATAACCATTCTTAGGCCTTGAGGCCCAAACATGAAAGATCCAACATTGGCCAGTTGGATTTCAGAATTTCCATGGACCAATGACTTCTTCATGCCTCCTAATTTCTTCCTCGTTCACCAATAATATCTATAGCTTTGACCTCTAATTGCCAGGGTTCTCCACAGAAACAGAGCCAATAGGATGGCTGGATAGGTAGGAAGACATAGAGAAGCTTTGTTATGTGAATTGGCTTGTGTGATTACAGAGGCCCGGAATGCCTGTTATGCCGCTATCTTCACACTGGAGATTCAGGAAAGCTGCTGGTGTAAAGCATAGTCTGAAGGCCTGATGACCAGGACTGCCTGTCTCCAAGGGCAGGAGAGGATGGGTGTCCCAGATCAAAAAAATTTAAAAAGCAAATTCACTCTTCTTCCACCTTTATGTTCTGTCAGAGCCTACAGGGGATTAGGTGATGTCCGACTAGCTTCATGAGGGTGCTCTTTGTTACTCAGTATACTCTGTCAGATGCTAATATCTTCTGGAAACACCCTTCCAGCCATACCCAGAAATAATGTTGTACTAGCTAACTGAATATCTCTGCCCACTCAAATGGATGCATAAAATTAATGATCCTATTCTCTTATACCTGGCTCACTGTTGTACCTTGACTGTGGAGAGGACAAATAATTTGTCTCCTTATTTTCCATGGTCTACAAATCAAGAGTATCTACAGTTGTGGAAATACGTTTAAGAACTGCACTTAGGAGATTACATCTGGACTTGAATTGACTTGAGATTCTGGACTTTGAGCTGATGCTATAAGACAGACATGTCCAGCCCACAAGCTGTGTGCAGCCCTGGAAAGCCAGTAATGTGGCCTCACAAGATTGTAAACTTTTAACATTGTTGTGTGATCTTTAGTGATATTTTTCATGACTCAACTGTACAGTGCTGGAATGTGAACTGTGTACGTGACAACAAAATTCTGTGTAGGGAAGGGCAGAGTGCGTTGCTATATTTGTGAACAACAGTTTTCAAGGATTAAGCACAAAGAGTAAAATTAGATCTAGCTGGGCCTGGTGGCACATACCAGTATCCCCAGCACTTCAAAGGCTGAGGCAGGAGGATCTCCACAAATTTGAGACCAACCTGGGCTACATAGTGAGTTCAAAACTAGCCTGAACTATATAGCAAGATCCTGTCTCAAAAAAACTAACTAACTAACTAAATAAATAATTTCTAACAAGTAGTTTAAGAACTCACTAAGGATTACAACCACATCTGTCAAACCAAACCCTGATCATTAGTTTCACAAAAACAAGGTCAAATAGCCCACTAGTTTTATGTCTATGTTGCTGTCTATATGTTATAGTAAAACTATTTTAAAATAAAGGAAGTTTTGTTGCTTATATACCTTAACTATATTATACATTTTATATGTGGCTCAAGACAATTCCTCTTCACTCAGTGCAGCCCAGGGGAGCCACACTGGACATCCGTGCCACAGGAGGAAGATGCTTTGGAGGCCCATCCGAGGAAGAGAGCACACTTTGCGTGTGGGAAACACTCAGCCCGCTGGCTGTCCGAGGACCAGCAGCGGTAGACAGCCTCCCACATGGCCTCTGCTCTTTATACCCTCTGCTCCCTGACTGTGCCCTGGGACCTGTGAGTTACTACTCATGAACAGAAAACAGTACTGTGATAGAACATCACTTCTAAAATTAAGTTATACAGAAATTGTGACTTTGGGGGCCCTTTCTGTCACTCTTTTGCTGACTTCTCTGAGGAAAGCCAGTTACTGTGTTGTGAGCTGCTCTCTAGAGGAATGTACATGACAAAGAATTGGCTAACAGTCGCAAGGACCCGAGGCCTGCTAGTAGCCAGAGGAAGGAGCCTGGAACTGGGTCTTCCCCCTGTGCAGCCTGGAAGTGATGCAAGCCCTGGCCGACACCTTGATGGCAACTTTATTAGAAGCTATGAGCACATAGCAAAGCCCCAGGACATCTGTGACCCCCAGGAAGTGTGAGATAACAAATAAGCGTTGTTTGACGGTGCTGTTTGCGGTCATTTATTACATAGCAGTAGGTAGCAAATACAAATGGCTAAAGAAAGGAGAGGCCTGCAGGAGAGTGGTCATGGTGGCCTGAATTTGATGACTGTAGCAGAAATTAGAAGTGATATCTGAGAGGTGTTTTGCAGGTGGAATAAGCAGGAACTCATGGTGGCTTAAGTGTAGGAGTAAGGGAGGAAGGAAGAGGTCCAGATACCTGGGGCAATACCAGGGCACAAGCGGCCCTGCAGAGACAGTGCATTTACTAAAACGGAGCATACTAGGCAGAGAAAGGGTTTAAGGACATCAGCAGAGGCTAACTGACTGAAATGCAGTAGTGGACAGATGAAAACATGCAGCCAACATATCACTGAATGTTACTCTCTGTGCGTGCAGCTTCCCCTCATCAACAGCAGAAGTTTCAGAAGTGTAACCTGGGGGAGGGGAGGGGAGGAAGGAAAGGGAGGGGAAGGGAAAGAAAAAGACATGGTGGCAAAGATGTAGAGACACTGGAACTCTCATACACTACTGGTGGGAATGTAAAATGTTAAACACAGAATCACCATGGGATCCAGCAATTCTACTCCTAGGTATGGGACACGAATGATTGAGAAGAGACATTCAGGGTTCGGGTGTAGCTTTCTGTTAGAATGCTTGCTTAGGATATGTGAGGCCAGGGGTTCAATCTCCAGCACTGTAAAAAAAGAAAAGAAAGAAAATATATATTCCAATATTTCCACAGCAACATCATTCACAGTAGCCCAAAGTGGAAACAACCCATGTGTCTACCAGGTGATAAATGGGTAAAACAAAAGGCAGTACCCTGCTTGGGATGAGTAGCCTCCCACATGTACCTCTGAAAAGCTGTAGCCCCCGGGGTGACGGGACTGCAAAGTGCCGTGGGCCTTCAGAATGGAGCTGCATGGGTCACTGGGGGCCCGTCTCGACAGGAACTGTGGGACCAGGGCTTCTCTCTCTTTTTCCTCCTGGCTGGAGATGGGGCTGCTCACTCTGACGTGCACTTCTACCACGATGTGTGACCCTCACCAGCCCCAGCCAAATGGCTGTGTCGGTTGGCTTTCTGCTGCTGCGACAAAATAGCTGACAGACACAACTTAAAGTGAGAGAGGGTTATTTTGGTTCCGTTGCAGAGGTTTCAGTCCGTAGTACACTGGCTCCATTGCTTTGGGCCTGTGGCAAGGCTGAAATATCATGGTGGAAAGGTGTGGAAGAGTAAATCTGCTCACCTCATGGCGGCTAGAAAGGGGATAGGAAAAGGGGAGAGAAGGAAAGGAGAGGGAGGGAAGGGGAGAGGGAGAAAGAGAGAGAATGAGAATATATGTTTCAAAGTCAAGCCCCTCCAGCCCAGCATGGTGGCACATACCCTATAATCCGAACCCTTGCAAGGCTGAGGCAGGAGGATCACTGTGTGTTTGAGGCCACCCTGGGCTATATAGTAAGTTCAAGGCCAACCTGAACTTAGTGAGACCCACACAGTGAGACCCACAAAGTCAAGCCCCTCCCCAGTGACCCACTTTCTCCAGTTAGGCCTTACCTCCTAATTGCCCAATCACTTGGGAATGCAGTAGGTTAGTCCACTTTACATTCTCAATGCAATCATCTCTTGAGGCATCTCTTCACCTAGTCAAGTTGACAGTCAAGATTAACCATCACAGTCACCCAGGCTGATGCTTAAAAGTCCTGAACTGTGAGCCAACGTAATGTTCTTTACTTACTAGGTAGCCCGTGTCAGGTAGTGTGTTGGTTTGGGGCTTATTTTGCAAGGGGAGACAATATGATACAGGACACATATTTTATAAGATTATTTATAGTAGTCATCCAAAGAATCATACACAAAAGAGTGCAGGCAATCTATCCACACACTAAGACCAAGGAAACTAGCCAAGGACCTGGATCCCACGGAAATGTCCTGCATGAGTCCAGCTGAAGACCTGGAGCTCATAACAGTGCCTCCCATGAGTCCAGCTGGAGGCCCAGAGCCCATAACAATATCTCACGCAGCCCTGTTTCACGGATCTGCGATGGGAAGGCCCAAAGGTCAGTGGTGGAAGCTAGAAAGTCTGTGCCAGTGGGATGAAGGTTCTGTGCTAGCAGGCTGAGGGATCTGCACTGGAGCCGGGAAGCAATGCTCAAAGTAAGAGTCAGAGCTCCCTCAGAAGGTACCACAGTCATTGTCAGCAACAGTGAGGTCTTGAGCTTCTCTGGTGATCAAGATGGCCAAGTTCCCGTCGGGGAAGCCAACACAGCAAGCTTCTCCAGGAGACTGGCAGTGCACCATCTTCCCCTCCAGAGCCAGGAAGCGATGCTCAAAGTGAGGACCAGAGCTCTTCCAAAGTGAGCCAAAGCCATTCTGAGTGACAGTGAGGTCCCAAGCTCCTCAGAGGATGAAAACAGCCAAGTACATCAGGAAAGCCAGCATGACAAGCTCCTCCAAAAGAACCAACAGCTCCTTGGAGCTTCCACCAGCCCCCAACAGCCTTTTTTCTGCTCCCAACAACCTCACCTCTTCTTCTCCAGCCCTGCCTCTTATGCTGCTGGCAACAGTCCCCAGGTGGGTATCCCACACCCAACACCACGCTTACTCGGTTTAGCTGGGGTTATAAATTGACCACCAGTAGTCAATCCACTACAGGTAGTAACACAAAGCCGACTAATACAGGTGATACATCCATGTAACAGAATATTAGAACAAAAAGAATGAAATTCTGATATATACTATACAACAGGTAAACCTTGAAAATGATATGCAAAGCGAAAGAAGCTTACATATTGAATAAGTCCATTGATAGGAAATATCTAGATTAGGCAATCCTAGAACTAAGGACAGAGCCCATTCTTTGTTTGTTTGTTTGTTTGTTTTTCAAAACAGGGTCTTGCTGTGTAATTCAGGCTGGCCTTGAACTCACTACATAGCCCAGGTTGGCCTTAAACTTGTAGATCCTCCTGTCTCAGCCTCTCAGGTGCTGGGATTACAGGTGCACACCACCACACCCAGCTAGACCCCATTCTCTTGCCACTATCCCAGTTCTCTCTGTAGACCTCATTGGGATGAATGAGACTCAGGTTGCCTCCCCAGGCGACTCTGCCCTCCTTGATGGGCCCATCACCTAAGGCCAACAATAAACTAACTCACTTGTCCAGAAGGTCTCTCTTCTAGTGTAACACTTACCAAACCTGAATGTGCAGACAGATCAGCTGTGGATCTTGCTGAAATTCAGAGGCAGGTTCACTGGGTCTGAACTGAGGCCTGAGGTCCTGTATTTCTAACACATGTTCTGGTGCTGTCAATGCTGCTTGTCCATGAACCCTACCTTGACCAGCTGTCCCTCTCTTGAGCTTCTTAAAAGCTCACTTTCAGAACCTCCCTGTCCCAGACCTATGCTTCTTGAGTTTAGAATAGTGCAATCCCTCAGTAGTGCCCCAGCACCTTTACATATTCTCTACACATGTTTTAGCATTACAGAGCAGGTCCCTACTCTCAAAGGTTCATAGTCTAAGAAAGAAACAGGTCAGATATAGCACAATTTTGGGGCAATAAGTATTAAGTATGAAAGTAGTTAAGAGATGGGGCCAGGGATATAGCTCAGTGGCACAAGTTCTGCCTGGCAAACACAAGGTCCTGAGTTTGATTCCTGGTACAAAAAAAAAAAAAAAAAAAAAAAGTAGTTAAGAGGAGAAATAATGAACTTGCGGCTGGGGAGAACACCCAACATCCTAAGAGAACCAGTCTAAGTGCCATTCCAAAGAAGATACGCAATAGGGGCCAGCACCTGTGTCCAGCACTAGTGGTGCATGATGTCAGTAAGATTTCCTTTAAGGCATGAATTTGCTTAGAGAGAATCTAAAACATCCTGATTCCCAGGCTTGGGGGTGTAGCTCAGTGGTAGAGTACTTGCCTGGCATGCACAAACCCTGTATTATAGTACCCCATATACACTGGTACCCCCCCAATAATTCTAAGTCCTGTTTTCAGCTTACCATTGAGCAATGGTAGAAGCTGCCTAGCAGGGCCAAGTTACATCTTAGTTTCTGTGATATGTTTTTTTTTTTCTTTTACAAAAATGGAAGCCTAACCCAAAGGAAATAACAAATGTATGTCCACAGAAAAAATTGTGCATGAGTGGTCATGGGAGAACCATTCATAATAGCCAGAGAAAAACTTGTGCATGAGTGGTCATGGGAGAACCATTCATAATAGCCAAAAAGTGGGAGCGACAGATGAGTGGTAAACACAATGTGATCTACCCATACAAT